GATACAAGGAAGATCTATAGAAACAGTGGGTTCTAGGAGAGAATTTATTGCATATTGCTCTGATGGCTGGCTGACAGAACAGTATTTTAGTTTTATGAGTAATCTACATAAATTAGAGAAGCCTAACACACCGCAAACAGAGGATTCCAGGGGACTTGGTGCCTCCCATTCACACACACACACACACACACACACACACCAGTCAGGGATATTCACTCTCAATTAGAGAGGGGTTTATTTTAGAGCTGTGGAGACAGCATTTTCAAGGCTAAGCATACATGAGACAAAATGTGAGTTACTATTTTGCAACTAACACCTTGTTCAGCAACTGGCAGACTTCCCTAACTCATTTTCTTTATTTCTAAAATGGGAGCTTTTCATATAGTATGAAGATACCAGAGAGTCTTAATCAGCTAATGTTTGTAAAGTGCTATGAGCTTATTGGGTTGATGGTGTTATCATTGTAAGTGCTAAGCATTATTATCAACATGATTACATCCGAAGGTGATAGTGGATTGGTGCCAATGGTCTTGGCTTGATCTTTCCTATTTTTAATTTCACTCTTTTGCCAACATATTTAGATTCAGAGTTTTGCATGTTTCATTCCTTTCATAGTAATCATGTAAGGCCAGAAGACTATTCGTGTAATGATTAACATTGGTCTGCCCACATTCATGTCGCAAGCTTTTTTCTTAGTAGTTTTCTTTTTAGGAAGTGTCAGAAACTAAAGGCAGAGTCTCATGACTATGATTCAAGGTGACTTTTCTTTAAGGTGTATATAAGAAAAATAGGTGAATCCATACTTATTTACGCCAGCATATCAGCATTTATAATAACTTCAGTGTGTTCTAGAGCAGCCAAAGTATGAACAAAAGAGATGGCAGCTCTGGCCCATTCTGCATATGAAGGCCACCTCAAAGGCCACCTCAGTCTCCCTATAATTCCTTTCCAGGACCATGGCTTTATAAGTTGCCATGAGACGTCAGCTGAAATTGAATTTAAGACACTCTTCTTTTAGTGATAAAAACTCATTTGGATAGCCAATTCAAAACATCCTGGTAGATATCAAAATAAGGGAAATACACTCACCTCACATCTCAGGAAGATTAAAATAGGGCTAATCTCATGACTTCATACTTGCCAAAGCATACATTTATTATTACTATTATTATATTCATATACTGCCCTTCATCTGACGATCATAGGGCAATTCACAACATTAACATATAGACCTGGTTGGCATCCCATCTGTCTCGGAGACAACAGAGGAGTGTGCCTTGGGGGTGAAGTCAAACATTTGGAGAGTTACAGTGCCTGCTGTGGCTGTACAGACTGATACGGGAAAGACATGTTTTGTTACATCTGGGGCAGATGAAGATATCCAGTTGTGCTGTTGCATTCTCCCAGTGGTCATTCCTCGTCTGGTCACTGCTGTGAATACACAACCTTTCCGTCTCCGGCCACTGCGGTTGTCTGCAAGGGATTCCCACATGGTGGAGTTGATGTTGCCAGCCTTCATGTCTCATTTGCAGGCATCTTTGAGAATACACAATACATAATAAAATAAAAACAAAAACCAATAACTGCCCTCCCACAAACACATTTAAAAGGACATAGAATGTTAATCAGCTAAAGTCCTGGTTATAGTGAAACTTTTTTGCCTGGTGTCTAAAGATATGTAATGAAGGTGCCGGGCGAGCCTCCCTGGAGCAAACATTCCACAAATGGGGACCACTACAGAAAAGGCCCATTCTCATGTTGCCACCTTCTGTACCTCTCATGGAGGCGCACAAAGAAAGGCCTTAAGTGATTAATGCAGGGTTGTCCATATGAATTGTTCATAGTGTTATTTTGCAAATGGGGAGGAAAAAATGGGTTCAGCACCAAAACCCATTTTAGCAGCAAAATGGTGGTGCTAAAATTAAAGCCTGTTGACATTAATCTTATCAAAGTGTAACCAGTCCTGAATCTAGAGTTTGGTTGGTCCTTTGGTTATGAACTTTTAGCAGGTTCTTCTATACCTGAACTCCCTGATTTGACACCTATGGAGTATCATAGCATCCTCAAAACTCTTTCACTTGTTAAGGGTCCCAGCTACTCCTCTTTTTTGAAATGAGTTTTGATTATTTTTTGCCAGTTGGGGTTTGGTTAGGGGGGTTACTTATTTCTTTTTTACAAAATGTGTTGTGTTTGGGGGTGTATATTGTTGTTTTGGCTGTTTTGAGTGGGGGTTCTGAGCGTTGTTGGCTTTTCTTCTGTCAAATAGGTATTGTTTTGCTGCTCACAACAGTTCCTTTGATTTCTAAAATGGTGGAGTACCCCTGCCCTGTAGCTATTCCAGTCAGAAACCCCCCTAGTGGTAATATATACCCACAGTGGCCAGCAGTGGCGTCAACTTGTGGGGGAGGTTGTGGGGGCTGACGTGCATGTGATACTGCATCAGGACATCGGAGGAGCCAGGGAACGGAGCTGAACCTGGCAGCAGTGTGGCTTCAATGGCTAGCAGCTCCTTCTCCTGCTGCCAGTGCCGACCAAAGGTTATTCTCCCTTCCTTCCCCTCCATGGCAGGAGGAGAAAGAGCCAGCCACTGAAACTATGCCCAGCTCGGCTCTGTGTTTGGCCCTGATATTATTATTTTTTAACATGCGACGGGGGCATTGAAATCTACATGTTCCAGCAAGAGTAGACAACAGTGATTTTCTCACATTAAGGTATATCTTCAGGGTTTACTTCCTAAGACTACAATTTCTCCATTCTTAGTTTAAGCTGTGATACTGAGTTAAGGCTGTGCAATAAATCTGGAAGCTCTTTGCACTTCACTCTCCTAGGTATATTCAAATGTAAACATTCTTGGTTCTAAACTTAAGAGTATTGGACAATGGCTAAATTGTGCTCATGATGTGTACCTATCAGTGATTGTGTAGAGAATGTCAACCTTTACCCAAACTTTGATAGGGGACATAGTGTGATTCTTATTTAAACAGTTGCTTGTTTACTGATTCATCCTTCCTAATAGCCTTCACACAATTACTCACCAGTATGGCTATTTACTGCTGTGACAGTTGCCTTTCCTTGCTCAATGCATTTTTGTTCTGTTATTTATTCACATCTCAATGATAAGTACTATTTGATTTGTAGCTAATTGCAGCAACTGTTTTTCATTATTTATGAGTGTCGTAGTCAGAATCCATTTACAATTCTGACCGGGATAAAACTGATTGCCACAACTGATATGACCACAGCAATAAGGAATTAACTGGCACACTTGAAAGCTGTCAAGGTCTGGGGCATTAACTCCTTTTGCATTTCATGAACCATTCATTCTGCTGTTGTTTGTTCCTCTTCAGAATATTTTCCTTCTTCTTCTGCATTTTTTAAAATTTACATTCACATTTAAGAGCCTCATAACAACTAGAACAAACACTAGAAAGCTAGCCAGAAAATAGCTTTTGAAAAAGTTGTTGTTTATGGTCAACTTTTCTGTTTAAAACAAAATCACCAGCTTCCAAAAATGGAAATAAATGATACGCAATAATAAAAAAGCAACAATAAAAGCAGACAAACCCCCAAATCAAAAGCATGAACAGCAAATTGTCGTACTAAGATCTAACATTAAAAGCATGTTAGAATAACAGGCCTTCAGTAGACACTTGAAAAGTAAGAAAAGAGTCTTGGCAGATCTCTGTGAATCGTGTATCCCACAATCTTAATACTACCACTGAAAAAGCCATGTCTTGAGTACCTTACAATCATATAATATCTTTACTATTGCAAGGCTACTTTATGTCAGAGCTTGTAAAAATACTCACAAACCAACTAAATGAGAGCTTGTTATAAAACTTTGGGAAGTCTTTTAACAAGTTATGTAAAAAGAAAAATTAAAATATCAGATGTAGATTATTTACTTTTCTAAGTTATATAAACAATTTTGATAGAATACACATTTGAGTGCATGTTTGTTAAAATATAGTATAACTGTGATTTTAAAGGGAGCTACACATAGCCTACAATTTTAGCAGTATGATGATGTTGCTCCTAGGATTCATAATATAGAACATCTGAAAAAAATAGCTGGAATGAGCATGCCAGTAGTCTGTATATCACAAATACATGTGAGGATTTGAGGTAATAAAAGTAAGCTTAAAATATAGCTTTTACTAAACCAATAACTTTTAAGTGCCACATTTTAAATGCTCTTAAATGTCTCAAGTTGATTAAACCTGATTTATTTACATAACTATTAATAGTCAGTTTTGTGTCTATTCTGTTCCTCCAAAACAGAATACAGTGATCCCTATTCTCTGAAAACCAGATCGAATTTGTAAAATATGTCTTATTTGACAAAGCCACCAAACCAAACATTGAAAGTATGGAAACATCTGTGTAATAATTATGTTGCTAGATTCTTGCATGATCTTTTTCAGGAAAGGCAATGCATTTATTTGCTTTCAGGCATTCAGCTAAAGCAGGAAGAGTTAATAAAGATCAACTAACTAAGCCCTTATTCTAATTTAATGAATGTTTTATTCTTAAGGGAAACATACTTTTCTTATAATGACAGGTGACATCTGAATGGAAAAATACCCTGTTGTTTAGGGCTTTATCTAGGACAGAAAGAGATAATCCTGACACATACTTGTTATTGCTTTTGCACTTTCATAAAGTAAAAAGGGCTGTCAGTTAGAGCTAATCCTATATGCTGAACCAGCTCTTCTTCATTTATAGGCCATTCTATATTTCTTTTCTACCTTAGAGAACTCCTGATGTGCTTAAGTAGTTGACAAAGAATAGCTAAGACCAGAGAATATAAGGGTCACTGCAGATTGCTAGAGATCAAAGGATATAGTTGACTATAGCTCATGTAGCGCTTAACAAAAGACCTTGGGATATACCTGGGGGAAAATGTGTAGTTAGTGTGTTTATTTTAAGGATTCTGTTTTTTTAACAAACAAAAAACAAAAAGATTCTCATGTTTTGTTATCTTTTTCTTTCCTAATTAGGACAGAATTTTACCCTAAGGCAGTTAGGAGTATGTGAACCAGCAACTCGAAGAGGACTGGCATTTTGTGCTGAAATGGGGCTCCCCCACAGAGGTTACTCTATCAGTGCAGGGTCAGATGCTGATACTGAAAATGAAGGAGTGATGTCTCCAGAGCATGCCATGAGACTTTGGGGCAGGGGGGTCAAATCAGGCCGCAGTTCCTGTCTCTCAAGCCGTTCCAACTCAGCCCTCACTTTAACTGATACTGAGCATGAAAACAAGTCTGACAGTGAGAATGGTAAGTCTTTCTGTGTGTAATATGAAAAACTATTTGATGATTTGTATTTATGTATTCTTTAAGCATGAGCATACTTTCTGAACAACTTTTATAACAGTTTTCTAGGAAAAGCCAGTGTCCAGTATTGATGGCTGGATGCAATATTTTACAAATATATAATTTGTACAATATTTTATCAACCATTTGGGGGGAAAATCTGAGAATGAATGAGTACACAAAATAGCTTATTAAGAAAGTTTGAGTACTAAATAACAAATTTGATTGTGCTTTAAAAATCAGTTTGATACAAGCAGTTGAATTTGTGATAAAATGGCAAGAATGTCCTTTGGAGACTAGATTGTTGTGTAGTTAAAAGCTGACAAACATCTAAACAGAACTTCTTAGGAAATTGGAAATGGTCTTTCTATATAATTTCTCCGCAATATACTGTCCAAAGGCCCCATGCAGCCTCTGAGGTATTATGCATACTTTTGTTTCAGTCAAGCAATTCTCAGTTCAGTGGTAGCAAACATGCTTTGTACAATACTAGGCCAGATAGCCCAATGGTCTGACAACATACGACAGCTTCAGAAGATATATGTGTTGATAGGGTTTTGCTCAAGGGAACTTGAACCCTAGTTTTGGCAACTTATAGGTACTTGATCCTTGGGTGAAACAAGCTTTAATCCACATGTCTGCATCATAAGAAACAAAATAACACTTTCACTAATATAAATTCATGTTTAGACATATTCCTGTGTCTCTGACAGCAGCATGGGCAGGCGAAAATGAAGCAACTGTAGCTTTTATTAGCAAAGAGATTAAATAGTGGGGAAAGCTTAACCTCCTACATTTCTCTTTTCAGTCTTCTTATTAAAGACAAATGATCACGGCCAGTAACAAAAATTGGAAATTCTAATCCCAAAACCACCTAATTCAGTGAAACTAACAGTATCACTGATCAAGAATGTAGCCACTGAAAGAGGCTAAGATCAGCTAAAATTGAGGACATGGACTGTTCAGAATAAATGTGCAGCCTGCTCATATCCTGGAATGTAATTATTGTGACACAAGTGGAATATTTCACTACACAACTAATGTAGCAGTCTTTCATGAAACAAGAATGACAGAGATTAAATAACCAAGTTTAGGGCGGTTTTTGATTTTGATTAGAGATTGGATATGGGCACTTGTGCTAGGGCAAGAAAATGACACTTTCCCCCGATCTTGGTAGACCCTTATGCAGGCCCTACTGCCTACCTTAAATGAAGCTTAAAATAATAGGATAAAGCTCTTAGGGTCGGGAGTAAGGGACCAATTAAAAGGAAGCTAGCCTTATTTTATTTTTTCCAATATTGTACTTTCTGAATCTACAGAAAGATTTTAGAAAGGCCTGCTTAATTTGTTTTCCATTTAAAGTTCCACGTGTGTAATGGAATCTTCCACAGTTGTGGTGATTGTATGTATAATAAGATTGTGTGCAACAAATATGTGGATATATGTGGCTTCAAAATCATATTGTTACCAAGATTGCACGCCACCCACAATCTCTGCCAATTGGTAGCAAGATTAATCTAAGGGGTTCCGGGCCTGGGGTCGTGTTTCGGTTGGGAATCAAGACGCAGTGGAGAGTGTCATCTTTAAGAAATACGGTTTATTAATACATACTTACAACCTGGGTGCAGATGGAAGGAGTGCCTAGCTTACAGCATTCGCATCTCAAGAGGAGCTTGTTCTTCACAGCAGCTCAGCACTGCATTCAGAGGCTTTCTAAACACCATCTCTGTGCCTCTGCTCCAGCTTGTTTCCAGCCATTCCTAATGTTGTCTGCCCTTCCACCCTCTCCATGGAGTTCTCCCCACTTCTTGCTTCCCCTTTCCACAAACTCCTTGCCAAGCAATTCCCCACCCTTTTGCATGCTCGCTCCCCTTGTAACTTTGGCATCCACTGTTGGCACAGACCCAAGGATTTCCCTGTTATGGGCCATCAACACCTTTTATCATACTTAACACCAACTATCCCAATGAGGCCCTGGCCTGGTAAGAGAGCTTAGGTTGTATTTTTCCACAGGCCTCTTCCCTTCAACATTCCAAAAATCAGCTAAATTCTGTTCCTTTTAAAAATTTCTAACATTCACTAACTCTGGCAGGTGGGATTGCAAGAGTTTCCCCCACCACACACACCTTTCTGCTCCCATTTATTTATTTATTTTAAATTGTCCCACTGAATGTGCACAGGTTAAATGTGTATGTTATAGGTCTGCTTTAGTACATATTCCCTGAGATAGCATGCATCACCTTACTTGATGTATTATTGCAAACATTGACCACCGAGCTTGCATATCTGTGATTTTTTTTAATAGATGTTTATTTACATAAATAGTAGAACAGATCTCTACTAATTTTATTGAATTGAAGTTTGGAATTTCATTTTTATCTTAATGCATAGCAAATCATGAATAAATTAAGGAAACAGTATTTAGCATTAATCAGATCATGCAATAGACTGTCTGATGTTTTGATGCCAATTTCAAAGAAGAGTTTAGATACATAAATCCTTAATTTTGTTTGTTGATCAGGAGGCAAATAGTCCAGCAGAAGAAACTATTAGAGCTGCTTTGAGGCAAATAAAACTTTTCTAGCTCCAGTATCTCATCTGGGTTAAAAACAGTTAGAATATGCAGTTATGAGTAATGCTAAGAGAGATGTAAAGCAGATCGTTATGTATGCTTATCTTATCTGAAATTGCACTGCAATTAATGTTGCAAAGGCTGCCTAAGAGTCAGATCAACAAATTTACATGATAGTCCAGAATCTGATTTGCTGTAGTATGTTCATGTTCACGATAAAATCTAAATATGGCCAAGTTTAAGAGGTGTTTTTGATTTTAAAAACCTCCTGTGATGGGATGATGAGCTGCTTGTGCATAAAATGCAAGTCCCTCAGAGTTTGGTCAAATTCTCAAACCTCTGCCTGCGACGGAGCCCCTCCGGCATGGCTGCGTCAGTCGCTAGCAGAATCCGAAAGTGGTCGCTTTCGGAATCTCTTCCAACATAAAAGCTCCTTAACGGAAACACGTCTTCTGGACTCTCGGCGTGACAGTTTCCGGCGAGGAGTGGGTGTCCCTATAGGAGGTCTTGAGACCTCCCCACTGTTTTCGCTGGAAGTGTCTCTGAGCCATCCCTCCGACTCACTTTCCCTTGGAGTCCCTTCTCTTCCCCTACTGGTTCCCTCTTCAGCTGCTACGTCTCTCTCAACCTCAGTGAGCCTTTCCACCTCCTGTCCTTCCGATGGCAGTTCCCTGACATCCACCTCCCCTCCAGGGCCCCCCTTCACCCCCTCCCGTCCCCTCCTCTATGGGCGGTGAGGAGGCAAAACCCCTGAAAGAACCTCCCTCATCTTCCGAAGTCTCGAACACTTCCCTCCACTTGTTGCTGTCCCTGGTCTCCCGGTACTCCTCGTCATCGGAGTCAATTCCCTCTTCCAACTCTGATTCCGCGAATCCTTCCAGTTCCTCTTCCTCGTCGGTCGTGCCGAAATACTCCCTCCTAAACCTTGCTACAGGCTGAGGTTTCCTCGGGAACCTTTGGTGGAACGTTTCTATTAAAACCTCGTCATTGACATACCCTGCAGTCACCCAGGTGTTTTCTGACTCCGGTTCCCCTTCCCACGCCACCAAATACTCCACCTGATTTCCCTTCCACCTGGAATCGAGGATTTCCGCTACATGGTTGCTGCGTTCCCTTTCTTCCAAGGCGGGCCCCCTGGCGTGCTCCCCTTCAGTAACGACCTGTGGAACACTGGGTGCAATTTCATGTGGTTGGGCAACCGGAGTTTGAAAGCCACTGGGTTGACCTGCTGAATGACCTCAAAGGGTCCCAATCTTTTGGGTCTCAATTTCTTACAACCCCCTTTGAAAGGCAACCCTTGGGTTGACAGCCACACCTGATCCCCCACCCTTATGGTTTCACCTTCCCTTCTGTTCTTGTCTGCCTGCTTCTTATATTGTTCCTTGGCCCTTTCTAAGTTGAGCTGGAGCTGATGATGGATCGCTTCCATCTCTTCTACAAAATGTTCGGCCGCTGGGACGCTCCATCTCTCCCCTCCATCCCCTGGAAATGCCCTGGGGTGACACCCGTAATTAGCCAAAAAGGGGCTCATCCCTGTAGACACATTCTCCGCATTATTGTAGGCAAATTCTGCCAGCGCCAACTTTTCGACCCAATCGTTCTCTCTGTCATTGACATAACACCTCAGGTATTGTTGGAGGATACCATTTGCCCTTTCCGCCTGCCCGTTGGTTTCAGGGTGCCGGGCAGTCGAAAAATTGACCTCCACGTGCAGCAAGCTCATGAGCTTCCTCCAGAACCTGGACGTAAATTGTTTGCCTCTGTCTGAGATCACCCTCAAGGGGGCGCCGTGCAACCTAAAAATGTGTTCTACAAACAACTTCGCGGTTTCTTCCGCTGTGACGGCATGCGAGCATGCTACAAAGTGGCACATCTTAGTTAACAGGTCTACTACTACCATGATGGCGGTTTTCCCCTTGGACTTCGGCAGATCCGTCATAAAATCTATCGATACCGCTTCCCAAGGCCGTTCTGGCGTGGGTAATGGTTCTAATAAACCTGCCGGCGCCCGCCTTTCCCCTTTGGCTCGCTGACATTGGTCACACCCTCTTACATACTCCCTTACATCTTCCCTCACCTTGGGCCACCAAAATTCCCTGGTAACCAACCACATGGTCTTGTGTTGCCCAAAATGTCCCGCCGTGGGACTATCGTGCAACTGCTTGAGTACTCTCCCCCTCAATTCACCTTCGGGTATATACAGTGCCCCTTTGTAATACAATGCCCCATTTCTTTCCTCAAAACCCCCGGGGCTCTCGCCCTCCCCCCTGAGACCTCTGAGCTTATCCTGGGCATATTCATCATTTTGCGTTTCCTCTACCAGTTCTCGTTGCCCCACCAGCGCCGCCCCACACACCCAGCGGTCCTCAGGGATGACATGTCTCTCTCCGAT